TCTCACTTAGCAATCACATCGTAGGGGAATCCATCCTACAGAAATCGAAGCACAAGTATGTAAGGATTATAGGCACAAGAACAATTATTTCAGCATTTTTGTAGTGGCAGAAAACCGGAAACAACCTAAATGTCCATTAAAAGGGGAATGGTTGACCATATTACGGTGGGGTCATTCTCTGGAAAGGTATTTGGCTATTAGAATAAAACAGAGCTCGGTCTCCTGTCCCAGAGAGATGGACATAATATATTAAATGACTTGCAAAGATACCTAATCAGACTTTGGTCAAAAAATGTGAAATCTCTGCCTCCCCTGTTTTCCCAGCTTCCTCATAGTCTCTTTCCATTATCTATCTTTGTACAGGTTTGTATGAGTATGGGGGGGGAAACACACAGCCTGTTAACTATGATGACCACAAGGAAATGGCTTGCAGGAAGCGAAGGTGAGCTCAAGCTTGTCTTTATACTTATTTTGTATTGTACAACACTTGTTACAATAACATGTATTTTGCAACTAAAAAATCTAATAAAATTAAAACTCAGTAAAGATTTTCTTAAAAAAGACAGTATGTTCATCTAGGTATGTTTCCTGAGGAAAGGGAAACAAAGCAAAAATGAACTCTTGGGACTTCATCAAAATAAAAAGCTTCTGCACAGCGAAGGAAACAATCAACAAAGCTAAAAGGCAGCCTACAGAATGGGAGAAGATATTTGCAAATCACATATCTGATAAAGGGTTAGTATCCAAAATATATAAAGACTTATCAAACTCACACGAAAAACAAATAATCCAATTTAAAAATGGGCAGAAGACATGAACATTTTTCCAAAGACATCCTGATGGCCAACAGACACATGAGAAGATGCTATCAATTATCATCAGGGAAATATAAATCAGTACTACAATGAACTATCACCTCACACCTGTCAGAATGGCTAAAATCCACAACACAAAACCAAAGGTGTTGGTGAGGATGTGGAGGAAGGGGAACCCTCTTACACTGTTGGTGGGAATGCAAACTGGTGCAGCCACTCTGGAAGAGTATGGAGGTTCCTCAGAAAGTTAAAAATAGAACTACCCTACTATCCAGCAATTGCACCACTAGGTATTTACTCAAAGAACACAAAAACACTAATTCAAAGGGATACACGCACCACTATGTTTATAGCAGCATTATCTACAATAGCCAAGGTATGGAAGTAACCCAAGTGTCCATCAATTGATGGATGGATGAAGATGTGGTGTGTGTGTGTGTGTGTGTGTGTGTGTGTATAAAATGGAATATTATTCAGCCATAAAAGGATGAAATCTTGCCATTTGCAATGACAGGGATGGAGCTAGAGAGTATTATGCTGAGTGAAAGAAGCCAGTCAGAGAAAGACAAATACCATATCTTTTCACTCATATGTGGAATTTAAGAAACAAGCCAATGAGCGAAGGGGGAAAAAAGGGAGACAAACCAAGAAACACAGTCTTAACTCTAGAGAGCACACTGCTGGCTACCAGAGGGGAGGTGGGTGGGAGATGGGGGAAACAGGTGACGGGGATTAAGGAAGGCACCTTGTCGTGATGAGCACCAGGTGAGGTATGGAAGTGTGGAATTACTGTATTGTACACCTGAAACTAATATTACACTGTATGTTAACTAACTGGAATTTAAATAAAAACTTTTTTAAAAAGAAAAAAAGATAGTATGTTCTAGGTAATGGGATTGAAAAAAGAAAGCATTTTACTTTCTTCTCAGTACCATTCTGAATTTTTCATATTCTCTCCAAACAGAACGTGCATTAAAAAAATTTTAAAGACAACCAATAGATATGGAAATAGTTGATGCTTGAAATGAAAATTCCTGAACATAGAATCGATTCTATGGTAACAACACAGATAAAAGATTTACATGTATGGACTAAGACCGGAAGATGAACAAAGATGAACTCCTTGAATAAAGCAAGTAGCATTGTGGGTGATCATTTTTCTATATTTTGTTACAAAAATACGTAATAAAAATGACTTGCAAAGTTATCAGCTTTAAATGTAAGTAAATTTGCCCTTGAAAAGTTATTTTTCTGAAGAAAAACTAAAGCGTACTGTACTAGAAGAAACAGGAACTAAACCTTTATTTTTTATTGTTTTTTAAAGATTTATTTGAGAGAGAGAGTGGGGGGGGGAGGCGCAGAGGGAGAGGGACAGTCTTAAGCAGACTCTGCACTTAACACAGAGCCTGATGCAGGCTCGATATCAAGACCCAGAGATCACGACCTGAGCCGAAACCAAGTCAGACGCTTTAACCGACTGCACCACCCTGGCACTCCAAGAACTAAACATTTAAGTCTGTCACAACAACCACCTCAAGAGGGGACAAACAGAAGTTATTTGGGGGAAAACAGCAAATATTTAGGGGTAAAGGTAAAAACCTCACGTTTTGCTAGTGGGCTAATGTCAGGGGGCTGCCCGGAATTGGACCAAGCCTTATTATTTTACGAAGATGGCAGGAGGGAAGTCTTCTCCGCCTTCCCTGAGTTCCCAGCCTGGGAGGGCTGGCGAGGATACTGCAGCCATTCTCTCCCACTTGCTCCATTTCTCTGGTGGGAGACCAAGCGGTCTCAATAGCTCAGGGTGACTTTGAGTGACTGGCCGCATGAGTCAAGGCCTCAACTGGGGGGAAAGAGATTTGGCCTCTGGGCCTCCCAATTCAACTTTACGAGAAGTCTCACATTCAACTGGTGGTTTGTGTCTATCTCCCATGTGGTTAGAACCCAAAGAGGAGAATGGGTGTAATTAGAACCTCCCAAACCCCAACAGATGGCTCTGCAATACCTCTCCTTATCTCAAAGCAGCTCAGGCAAAAAGAAATGGCTTCTGAATTTAAAGCCAAACACAGCCATTAAGGAAAAGCAGAAACTTGCCTCTCTTGGAAGGCAAAATAACGTATTCTATTTTCATCAATGCGTTTGGGATATTTCTGTGGTAATTCGCATCATGAAAGAAGAAATGCCATCTAAAGTTCCTTAGCAGGTTTTCTGTAGCAAAGTATCCTAGTGGCTTTACCGTAGCAGCAGGTCACAACACCAAATCCTTTGTGTTCACCAATACCAGCGATACAAGCCACATGAGCCCAAAGGAACAGGAAATACCAAGTAAAAGAAAGTAATTCTTGATGTTGACCTCACACTTGGCAAACTAAAAATTTCCCTCAGAAGTCAGGAAAATGATTTTAAAGTCAGAGTTAGGTGCAGATGCTACAGTGATATTTTCACTGATGTTAGAAATGCTGAACAGAAGGGGTCACATCACTTCCAGTTTATACTTTGTTGGGGTTTTATTAACTTTGTGATTTAAACCTCTTCATTTCCGTGTGTGTGCGTTTATGTGTGTTTGTATGTGTATGCCTTTTCTATAGCCAACACTCCACTAGGATAACTTAAAACAAAATAGGAATTTATTTACAACAGCAAAAATGTCCAAAATAATGGAAACGATATATAACAAATCCAAGAATTATTTTATGAAAAAGGCAAACAATATATACAAGAAAGATAAAACAAAATCCAAAAGGGCAAACTTAATTTTGACTTGATCTAAACAGCTGCAGAATGTGGCAAAATGGTTTTTCAGATATGAATTAGTAAGTAATGATGGGCCAATTAAACACTCTTTTCAGCTTTTCTCTTTTACTTGCTGAATCTTCCTCTGAATTCTATTAACCTTTGAGGAGTATCACTTAGGGGAGGCCATACTAGATTTATGAAATACAGGCTACTTACAGGTGTACTAAAAAGGATACACTTACTGTCTGGAGGGCTCACACTTTGAAAAAGGTAAACCAAAGGTGTCAACGAAGTCCCATTTCACCCTCACTGCTTATTGCTGGGGTTGTGTGTGAGAGAGAGAGAGAAATAGAGAAAGATTTTCTTGTCTACTACACAAAATGTTGCACCAGTGATCTTTTCGGTTCCTCAGGTGCTCTGAAAGGGTTTCCCAAACTTGAGCATGCATCAGAATCACCTGGAGGACAGGTCAAGACACAGATCACCGGGTCTCGTGCCGTTTCCCGATTCAGTGGGTGTGACGTGCAAGCACAAATTTTTATCTTTAACAAAGTTCCAGGTGATTATGGTGCTGCCACTGTTGTCAGACCACACTTTGAAAACCACTGCTCTAAAATATCACCTCTTTTAAGATTTTGACCGGTCCCGCTTTTCCTTCATGAATCCTAGAACTGGTGGGCAACAAAATTGTTAATGCGGAGATTCCCAGAGAACAGAGTGGTACATTACCTGACTGCCTGGTCTCTGACAGCTAAGATGCTGTCTACCAGGCATTCTGGTACAACAAAGTGTTTCACACGCTACGGTTTTGTGCGGTTCGTGGCTCTGGACAGTGACACTCACCGTGTTCTCTTGACCACTGACCCTAAATTTTGATTATTTACTGTTTCAACTACTAGGCAAACACTTGTTCCTACACAGTTGAAGATCTGAAGGATCTCATCTTTAAACCTCAAAGATGGCTCAAATCGATCTGTTACTCTCTTTTGACTCCTGGTCACTTTCACCTAACTTCTGATTTTTCTAACGGTGGCCACTCTCTAACATGTTAGCGTCTATGAATGAAAGCCGGGCACAAAGGTGTCACTCTAGGGCAGGGCTTCTGCTGTGGAGGCGGGGACAACACCCAGTGATTAAGTGTGCTGTGCAGGGATACTGAAATGAACTTTAAGTGCTCTCATAAACCATTTATGCAGGGCAAATTCGTCTCAGGGGAACTGGAGAGGCTAATGAAACAAATCCCTTGTGAAGATGAAGGGAAAAAAAACGAATTTCAAGGACATGCTCATCAAAGGACTCACCAATCATATCTTAAGTTCCCTGATATACTACTAGCAAATTCGTGGGGCTGAACTGTGAGGAGTATTTGCATCAAGTGACAAAATTCAAAGCAATCAAGCATTTTGCAATTCACTGCTGCATAAAAGGAATTAAGAAAGGGGGAAATGAAAATAATCCACTGCTTTTGATGTTTATTAGGTTTACAAAAACTGTACATTTTTTTCCTTAAGAAAAAGCATTAACTTAGTACTGGTATCAAATAGACTAAACATCCATTAACAGGAAAATATTCTGATTTTTATTTTTGCACGTTATTCTCAAGTACACAATTACAATAATGTCACACATCCCTATATGATTTTCTTTTTATGTATTTTACTTTTTTTTTACAAAGTGTACAGAGGGAGGGACATACAATATTTAATAGGATATTTCTACAGAACAATAACTTATATTATGTCCTTGTAAAAATCTGTACCTCTTTAAAACATTTAACTGAAACATCCATTTTTTTTAGCTTTGCTAATCAAAATTGTTTTAAGAATTAAAACTAGGTTGTAACTAATGTCAGTACATAACAGTGACTACAATTTCATTTTCTCTTTATACACACAAATACATTTTATCATATTCACTTGACCAAACCCTTAAATACCTTTTAAAGGTTTCAATATTGTGCTTTAAAAAGAAAATAACTGTGTATGATTCCAGACTATGTAAGAGAAATATAAAGTGTGTAGAGTGTTGTGTTCTTTATCTTTCAGTTTATTTAAAAAAATATAGTTAAATGACCAATTATTTATATTTTCTGTACTAATTTTACAGCATGTTTTAAGGTTAATAAATTTCCACTTTCATTTAAGTGTCTTCTTTTACATGATTTCTGGGGAAAAAAATGGAGATTTTTAAAGGTTCTCACAAAAAAACAGACAGAGCTTTCAAGGATAGTACTGCGGGGCAATGAACCACACAATTGTAAGTTACTTTAAAAAAAAAAAGCATGTATGAGAGCCAAGAGGGCACAGGAGCTCCCACTGGGATAGGCCCATGCCTTGGCTTTAACTAGCATTCAGGTTGGAGTTCATACCAGCCTAAAGCACTTGATTTACAACTGGACGAAATCAATCTAGCATTTCAGAGGCTTGCCAACCACCAAATATTTAGATTTCTAACCCTATAAATATAATTCTTGAATACAAATATCAATGGCAAAGAGAAAGATGAAAGGCCAAAACCTAATAGCACAAAGGGGATGGAGCACCATAATGAAGTGGCAAGGCAGCTATCCAGTGGGAAGAAAATTCCTCAATCTCCTACGACGTGCCAGATACTCATATGCTGACAGCCAATTTAAAGGACCCCAAAAACTGTTTTCCATTTTCCAAGATCCCTCTTAACCAAATTCTAATTAACCGAGTTCATTTTATGCATTTCTGACTCTGATTCAGAACTGTTTGTTTAAAACATGTCGGCTCTCAAAGACAGACAAAACTGTGAAAGACTTGGTGATGTTCCAAATAAGGCCTCAGATTTTCCTCACGCACTTAAACACACCTTTATCTTCTAACCAAAGCCAAGTTGAGCGTTCAGTTTTTTAATGTTTGGTAACTGTAACTAAGAAATAAAAGAGCAGGCTGGACCCGCCCAGTGTAAGTCATAATTAGCACCCAATCTCTGGGACATGGAGCTGTGGTTTCCTTAATCCCCCTCACTGGGTGACACAGAGTTCCCTCATGGGCTTCTCAGAGAGAACTGAGGGAGTTATGTCCGGATATTCATTAGCTTTTCAGAAAAATATAAAGGCATGGAGCTGAAGTTGTATGAAAACATTCTATCTAGAAACATCTTAACGTCTATTTTTTCAATTACCAAAGATATTTAAAAGAAAATACCTTTACTCTTTAAAAATACTAGTGTCCTTATTTTCCTTCTAATTCTTCACCTGAGTAGTCTCTCTGAAGAGCATGATTTACAAAATGCTCTCTCATGCATCCCTGCATCTTTCATGTTATTGTAAATTTAATACTTTTCATTATAGATCTTAACTACTACTGGGGTTGTGTGTATAAATATGTAAAATAAGCAATACACACAGATACATGTTCTCTATATATGTGCATATATATAATTCAGGGTACATTTACATATATAAAGTCGCAAAAGGTCCTACGAGCCACGAATTACCTCTAGGAGATTCCAAAATGCAGTCCTCGATAATCTCATTTGTAGCACACAACCATTCCAAGACAAAGCAGCACAGACGGAATAATCAAAATACAACAGCATCAAGCAAAATTTGTCAAGGAAGTTCTCTAAAAGTTTGCTATGCTGACAAAAGATGTAAATACGCCAAAGAAAGCCCCCAAAGAAGTATAGTTTGTCTGCTAAACAAAATGAAAAGTAAACACGAACCCAGCCACTGTTCTTTCCTCAGCGATGCCAGGGACGCAAAAGCTCAAATGGAAACTTTCATTGTCATGTGGTCTGAAAATAGTAAGCAAGACAAGTAAATGACTTCCACGTTAGGATAATTAGACCTGACTGTAAAATCTCCCATTTATGTTAGTAGATGTCTCTGACAATTTTATTGTGAGAAATTTATGGGAACAAAAAAAAAAAATGAGTCAACATGAATCTTTTCAGAGTTATCAATCTAAAGTTACCTTAACTTTAAGTTAAATGGTCTTAGAAGAGTACCATCAAGGTAAGCAAGGTAAATATTTAAATAAATATAAAACTTCTAAGATAGAAAAATTCAGTATAGAATCAGGGATTACTTTATTAAAAGCAACTTACTTGTTGCTGCTTTCCCCCATTTATTAAACAAACTGAATAGAATTCAGAACACACTATTAAACAAAATGTAAAAAAAACCCAACTCAACTAGAAGCAATAATTCTATTTGTACACAGCATAAATCAATATACAGTATTGTTATGTGAACGAGACGGATTGGCTTTAAAATGAAATTTCCGCTTCAAGGCCAACATCTCCACAAATGTCTGTAGCGGTATCGTCAGGGCAGGCCCACTTCTTTATGGTGTCGCATTATGTGCTGGTTCTTTTCGGAAGGTCTCCGGAAGCCTTTCTTGCAGTACTCGCACCGGTGAGGGTAGTCTTTCGTATGAATGGAGATGACGTGCCGTTTAAAGCCGGACGCATCGGTAGTGCTATACTCACAGTACTCACACTGATACACCTTCCTGCCACTGTGGGTCTTCATATGCTTTTTAAGCTCATTCTGTTGCCTAAATCCCTTTCTACATCTCTTACACCTAAATGGAAGATCTTTTGTGTGAACGGAGAGGATATGGCGACTCAGAACAAATGGATCCGCAATCTTAAAGTCACAGTGTCGACACTGGTGCATTTTTTTACCCTTGTGGGCAGCCACGTGTTTCTTGAGTTCGGAAGGCCTGTGAAAGCCTTTCTCACACATGTCACACTTATGGGGGTAGTCCTTCGTATGAACCGAAATTATGTGTCGTTTCAAATCGCTTGAGTTCGAGCTCTTGTGGTCGCAGTGCAAACACTGGTGTGTTTTGCTTTCTTGGTGGATAAGAGCATGTTGCTGCACCTCTTTGGTATCTGAGAAAGTCAGAAGACAGATGTCACACTTGAATGGCATCTCTTTACTATGCTTAGTTTTTACATGCGTTTTCAAGTTAGAAGAGTCTGCAGACCTATATTCGCAGTACTGGCACTGGTACGGCTTCTCCCCGGTATGGATTCGCATGTGCTTTTTGAGCTCCGACGGGTGACGAAAACCTTTCCCACACTCCACACAAATGTGAGGAAAGTTCTTGCTGTGGACCGCCAAAAGGTGGCGATTCAATAACCCTTGTTCAGCTGTCTCGTATTCACAGAATTTACACTTGTGCATTTTGTTGGCTCCTTTTTCTTTATGCACCATTTTGTGAGTAAACAAAGCCCCAGCATGAGAGAAATGCTTCCCACACTCGTCGCATTCGATGGCCTTCTCTGCCTTGCTGGTCAGCTTGTGGCTCTCCAGGTGGTTGTGTAAACTTATCTTCTTGTTGGTAGTGTAATCACAGTCTGTACAGCGGTACTTCTTCTTGGTAAGGTGTTCAGGATGGTTTTTCATGTGCCTTTTCAAAAAACCTCTCGACTTAAATTTTTTCCCACAAATCATGCAAGGATAGACAGTCAAGGGATGTCCATCAGGGCCAATAATTATTGCTAGGAAAGGAAAAGAAAGGCACATGAGTGATCAAACCAAGTTCCATTTTGGTTTCTGCAAGCATTTAAAGTGTGTGTTCTGAACATTATTAGGCAAGTATTCCTACGTTAAACTATTTGCTACGTGACATTCCTTTTACCATTTTTCAGTATAAGAGACAGAGCAACCCTGTCATAAAGAGAACCCTGGTCTGAAAACTTCATTTAGTCTGATTGTACCAACCTCAGTCCCTCCAGTTTAAAAAATCAATCAATAAATACCTAACTTCTGCCAACTAGTGATCAAAGCTCTATCAGTTTAGAAATCGGTAGAAAATTCTTCACAAAAAGAAAGTTTTGTAATCACAATCCCTGCTTTGGTTATTCTGAAAAACCTAATTTTGTGTCACTTTACAGTAAAGCTTAAATCCACCTACAAAAATTTTAATATGCAAATCGCCATCCACGAATAGACAGGAACGGGGTCATGTAAACTGAAGTACTTGTCCTGCTGCTCTGGAAATTATGCCTGCCTTAATTAAGGTAACATAATCCAATTCTTTGCATTAATTTAGTTTTTAAAACAGTTAATGCTTGTAACGTGTTTGAGGGATTTCTTTTCATTTCCACCTAAAAACCACCTGAGTTTTGAAACTTTTTTCCCCATCCACGTTTGATCCATTCCCTGTTTCTTTTTATCCCAGGAAATCATTCATGAATATCACTGAATTCTTAAAATTATATTTTCAAATTCCATACACAAAAGCTTACATGTGGTCTAGCAGCTAAAATGCCATCACAACACCTCTGTGGATACATACTAGAGTTCCATCTGAGAGCTTGCCAAGCACGCTGCGCTGTGGGACTCATGTGCCCTCACCTGTTTGGTACTGCCTGGAATCAGGTCTTCTCCTTTTCTTTGGTTTTTGTTTAGCCAGTCTGCCAAGCCCAGCAGACTCATCTATGTGCAAGAGGGCACTTGCAGTGCCATTCCGGGTTTCAATTCCATCAGAATTATTACCTAACAATGTGCATTAAAAAACAAAATTATACAGTATTATAAATTATAAAAAATTAGGGATTCTTTATTAACTATAACAACGAAAAGTAAGCCATGATACTCATGAATGACAGAAAGTCCCCATTCTAGGTAATGGGTTTTAGGTCCACATTTATTATAGTGAGACGGTAGGAAATGCCTCGCTTCCAAATCTAAAAAACACATGTCAGCATTTTGCCCCTTGAACTCCCATGTTGTCTCCCCAAACTGTAAAGTCATGGGCCAGATACAATCAAGATGAAAAGTTTCAGCTTGAAAGCCTGCATACTTCTTGCGGTACTTCCTTCTACGTAATATACACATGAAGGAAATTCCTGTTATAAATAAAGACAAAAGGTAGACTTTATCATCTTCCTCTCCTCTTGTTTAAATCAAGTAACCCTTACAGGGTAGTGGTGTTTCCTATTTCGGAAACCTAAGGCCACAGACACCGTTTCCAGTCATGAATTCACGTGCGCAAGCCAACTCCGTTCGAAGAGCCGCCACGTGACTTACCGTAAGCTGCTGCCCATGCGATTGGCATGAAGGTTTTGATTTCACTGTCGTCGATCTGCTGATCGTGTGCCGCGGCGGCAGCTGCCGCTGCTGCCGCATCCTCCTCCCCTACAATCACCTCCATATAAACTTCATCGGCAATTTCCGCGACATCTAAGTAGGAAATTATATCAAATTTTGTGACCAGGTTTACAGAGATCACAGGAAAGACGTTTTTATTTGAATTCAGTTAGCAGACAAGTAGAAGGAAGGTTCAAGAGTTACACACCTAGAACACAGCTTTCACAGAGTCCTAAGCAGGCAACGAATATTTGTTTAACGAATCATTCATTTCTTGGCTTTCATCTTAACTTGTTTTTAAAGCAACATTCTACACATCCATAACGAGTTACCGAGACTGCCCTTGGAACACGACAGCATAATAATCTCTACAATAATGCTACTTGTTTTCCTTCAAATACTGACCATAGTTAAAAAGAGAGCTACAGAAACACAAAACTTTCTCCCACAAAAAGGCCACCTACTTACTTAAATCTTCATCTTCTTGCTGAGAGTCGTTGACAGTCATATAAACCATCTTTTCCCTTGGCACACGAATACTGCTATTCTGATCAAGTAATTCAACTCCATGGTCATTCTCAGGCTCACTCTCCACAATGTCTACGGTGCCACCTATCAGGGAAGATGACAGCTCCGAGAATTTATCTGAAAACTTCATTTCTACCCATCTGACTTAACACATGTCATATACTTTTCTACTGCTACATGGAAATCCTTGTTTAAAAGTTATCTTCAGAAAAGATTTCAAAGGTCCGCAATCTAAACCACCCAAAAGAAATCAGGCTGAAGTGTCTCATCAGGATGCATACTATGCCGAAGCTTTCCTCTTACCTAAGTCATCCTCTCCAGGGTCAGCTTTAAAAATGTACACCTTGATGACTTCAGGGCAAGTGCCATCCACCTTACAAGGATCGATTTCCGACTCTGCGTCCATGGTCATTCCAGAGGAACCATCGTGTTCTATTTTGCCAGCATCATCCACTGAAAAGGCAGGAAATACATTACAAATAACACTAGCAGATACTTAAATAAAATGTTACTGTTTTGCAAACTCCTTTGTACAAATATCATCCCTAACAGGATTCATACAAAATAGGATGATTTTACCTAGACCAGTAGACACGCAGAGCACGGTGGGAAATGTGGCTGACTGCTAGGCCAAGGCAGGGGTCATGGAGGGCCTTGTGCAACCAGGCAGAGGGGTTCAGACTTGACAATGGTAGGTCAGAGGTTTCTCAATCTGGTCAGGTGTCATATCTCTTAGGGAACTAAAGAACACAGGTCCCAGCCCAGCAGCACTACAGAATTAGAATCTGTAGGGGTGAAGCCAGATACATGGAGCGATTTAGAGGTTCCAGAGCAGTGAGAATGACAGATCACCATGTTCGCTAACATCAGGACTTAAGAGTCAAAACTGAACATGACAAAGGAGCCAGGGATAACTATGGGGTTTCTGATTTAGGTGACCGAGTGACTGGGGGAAGAAATGTTAATCAGAGAAATGAGGAAAAGGCGCTCTCTTCCTGCATGGGTAATTAATTTTAGGTCTGAGAGGTAACATCCCTAAAAGCTCTCAGACCAGTGCCTGTCCCCGTTCTTTTATATTCACAGCACCCTTTTGCTTGTTTCTGAGTATACGATTCATTGTATTGTCACTATCAGGGACTTTCCCCCATCTTTCCCACTGATAGAGCAAAACTTGTCATTTTATTAGTCTTTTAAGACAAGAGTCTGGTGATGGTAGATGTTCAGAATATTGATGAGCCAATGACTCAATGAATGAGATGTAAAGACAGTTGCTGGATATTTGAGTCTGAAAGCTGAAGGCTGACAGATTTGGGAGCCAACAGCTCTGTGCTAACTAGCCCTGAGATCACACAGCGAGGACCTGCAGTGTGAGGAAAGAGTGTGCTATGGATATCTTGGGGAACATCACAGTTTAAGGGAGGGACAAGAAGAGTTCACAAAGGAACCCAAGAAGGGAAAGCTGGAGAGGCTGGTGGAGGATCGTGAAGGAAGCGAGGCAGTTATAAATGCAGCACACACCCTAGTAACGGAGGAATGACCTGGAAGTCACTGATGCCCCTGGGGAAAAGCAGTGTAGTAAAGGCTATATGGGGTCAGATTAAAGTGGGGTGAGGATTCAATGGAAGGTGTGCGTTTCTTCAAGAAGTCTAATTTTAAAATGGAGAACAAAGGGGCAGTAACTAGAACGGGGTACACGGTCAAGGACTTTTCTGTTTAACTGATAAGAACACTCAAGCATATTCATTCTGTGGGAGCAAATACAACAGACGGGAAGAAGCTGAAGCCAGAGGACACGGGAAAACTTCTGGATCAAGATCTCAGAGGAAAAGGGGAAGATGAAATTAGAGGCAAAGATGAAGAAATTCTCCTTAGACAGCGGGAGCAATATGCGATCCTTCTGAGACTTGAAGTGGTAAACATGGATGCAAAGAGAGCTACATTGTGTTAAGGGGGAAGGCTGTAATGCTGGGAGCTGGAGAAGTTCGTGGCTGGTGGCTTCAACCATGGACACGAAACCAGAGGCAAGGGCAAGGGAGGAGAAAATGGCAAACTAGGTGCAGAGCTTAAGAAGCTGGAGAAAATGAGCTGATCCAGGACAAGCCTCATGATATGCAGGTTCAAAGAGACCAGCCGGTTAAACTCTGTGGTCTGAGAAAACAAAGAGAGGTTCCCTGAACTCTGCACATAACTACCTAAATTCAAGGATCTTGACTATGCTTTTTATAAAAATGATTTGTAAGGGGAAAGAATTAGCATTAGGTCCTTATTTCTGGCCTGATGTGTACTTACCCCTTTTCAAAGCTAAATATTTTTATGACATACCAAGCTGACTGAGCCAAGGCTATTTTCTTAAAGGTAGCTCTGCAATTTCAAAGTGAAGTAGCGATAACAAGGATGAAGATCCCCCCCAAACTAGCTGGAGAGACCTGACTAAACCTGCTACATCTTCAGAACACTCATCTCTGAGCAGTTAGATCTTGTTGATGAAGCTTGCCCTTTTTTGGCAAGGTATGGCAAAACTGATTCTAACAGGTACTGGAAAATCAAATGTCCTCGTGTTTACAAAGAACAAGGTCAGGCTAGCTGTTTTGGCATATTTTAGCTTGTTGGTACTCATAAGATAAAGCCTTTGATGACTGAAAAATCTTCATTTTGGAGCTCGCAGAATGGCATGTATTTATCTATAATTTGGAGGAAAAGACTTTTCTGTTTGCTTTCATAAGTGTGTGGGGAAAACACATTTCAAATATACAGGCTCACCTGAGCCAAGCAAAGCTATTCTATTATTAGACAAAAGTAAAATTCACCTTCAGGTTTTCACCTTGAGAATTTGCCCCACTAACTCAACTTATGAAATTACTCTGAATATGAAAAATTACAGAAGTGATTTTTTTAAAAAAACCCACTTTGATGGTCCTGTTAAGGACTCAAAATTTCTCTGTGATTTTAAAGCTACCATAAAAATGAATTTCTAAAAACAAAGAAGCCTTGGATAAAACTGAGTCATCACATGTATGATTTCCGCCTAAGTGCCTTCTTCTAATGTTGTGATGAAGAGCTAGAGCTCTGGAACAAGGCCTCTCCAAAACAGAAGAGCATAATTTCTGGAAATTAAGACTACTTCTAATAATAACTACCATTTGCATGGCATTTTGCTATTTCCTTATCATTTCTATGTACTTTAATTTTATTTGATCCTTACCTTTTCCAGATAAAGAAATAAAGGCTCTGAGATGGTATGTGCCTTGCCCAAAGTCAGTGAACTAATGAGGGATGGGAGAGAGAAGAGGTGCCTGTCTTTAGAACCCAGACCTTTATTTTCATCTTCTGATTTTTTAAGAAATGTATGTTTACTGTATAAAACTTAGAATTAAAAAAAAAAAATCACCAATGGTCCCACCAACCAGAGATTCCATCATTGTTAGGAAATTTTCTTCCCAGTTTTTTCTATTTGTGTTAAAGTAAAATTGGCATCACAGTTTCCTCAAGCCTTACATAATAATAATCTTTACAACTCATCCAGTATTTTATTTTTTTAACGATTTTATTTATTTATTTGACAGTGAGAGAGAGAGTACAAGCAGGGGGAGAAAGAGAGGGAGAAGCAGGCTTCCCGCTGAGCAGAGAGCCCGGCGTGGGGCTTGATCCCTGGGATCATGACCTGAGCTGAAGGCAGACGCTTTACCCAATGAGCCACCCAGGCACCCCTCATCCAGTATTTTAAACTTCAAAACTGAGAAACATTTGACTTATCGATGATCTCATTAGTAACAGCAAAACTATAGCAAAATATAGGCAATACTTTATACTGCTTGAAGGGAGCTTCAGTAAACTCTCCTAAAGACTGAAAATTGAGGGATACTTATTTGCAATGTTACAGATACCACAGTGTCTAAAAATATAGTTCATTAAGATCTCAAAAAAACCAGTAGTTTCTGGAAAAGAAAAATTACTGGGGTGTGGGTGGGAAATACACCACTTCAAGTAAATTGGTTTTGGGTTTTTTTTTAAGAGAGACAGGGAGAGCGTGCAAGCTCCTGCAGGGGGAGGAGCAAAGGGAGAGGGAAAGAGAGAATCTTAAGCAGGCTCCACGCCCAGCGCGGAGCCCAACGTAGGGCCCAACACAGGGCTCCATCTCACAACCCTGAGAGCAGGACCTGAGCCCAAATCAAGAGTCAGTCGCTTAAATGACTGAGCCACCCAGGCACCCATTTTTTTCTTTACGTAGGCTCCACACACAGCATGGAGCCCAATGCAGGGCTTGAACTCACAACTCTGACATCAAGACCTGAGCTGAAATCAAGAGTTGGATGCTTAACTGAGCCACCCAGGTGCCCCTCAAGTAAACTGTTAAACGAATGTTGATCTAATTAAAAGATCAGTAAAACTAAGCTGATGGAGAATCTATATAACAAGGAAGGATGGTGGTCATGATGGATAATGGTAACATTTACTGACCACATACCAAGCCCTTAAAATGTAACCATTCACTCCTCACAAAAACCTTATGACATAGGTAATATTGTTTTGTTATTCTCAATTAAGTTTCTAGACAAATTTTTATAATTTTTACCAAGACAGAAAAATATATGATATTGGATTGCGGTGGAATTGCATTTTGTACAAATTAACATCATAGAAAGAAAAGATCTTTACCATTTGATCTCTCTCTTCCTACGTTTCCTACCGAATACCCCTAGACGTAGCCCTCAGTCAGCTTTCCTAAAACAAAGATCCAGTTGCCTTACTCTCTGGCTCAGAATGGTACCCCATTTCCTACCAAATAAAATACAAACTGCACAGTCTAGTAACCAACCTCTGACCAAAGTGCCTTCTGCCTTCAATCTTGTCTCCCCCATCAGGCCCTAGACTACCCCGTGTGCCCTGAACTTAAAACAATACATTTTTATTTCTATTCCCTTATGCTTCTTGTACTTGTATATAATTTGTTGTAGAAATTATATAGTTTACTGTTTACGAAAAGTATTTTTTTAAGATTTTTATTTATTTGAGAGAGCGTGAGCAAGAGAGCACAAGCAGGTGGAGCAGCCCCCAACATGGAGGCTCAATCTCAGGACCCTGGGATCATGCCCTGAGCCGAAGGTAGCTGCTTAACCAAATGAGCCACCCAGGTCCCCCCCAAAAAAGTATTTTTAAAGTTTTAAAAAATTAAAATGTGATCAAAATTCTACCACCTAGAACTATCAATTTACAGATCATTATTCAGATATTTCCCTATGCATATTTATAAATAAAAGGAAGAGTGACAGATATTTTAATGAAAACTGGATATTGTAATATGCCATTTTTTTTTTAAGATTTTATTTATTTATCTGAGACAGAGAGAATGAGAGAGACAGAGAGCACATGAGAGGGGGGAGGGTCAGAGGGAGAAGCAGGCTCCCTGCGGAGCAAGGAGCCCGATGCAGGACTCGATCCCGGGACTCCAGGAT